CAGCGCAATTTCAATTCCTTCAAACTACCAATCGGTTTCAAAGCAAACAATATAATAAAATATATAACATAACATCACGCCTTTTTATCCCCGAAGAGGTAGGCAGTGGTGCATATTACAGCACTTAATACCACTGTACAATGTAACACCCACTTTTCACTATTTATGTTATGAGTCACTATGTAATAAGGGTTGAGCAATTGCCATATACCGGGCACATTTCCAAACTCCGTGCTACTACTGAGTTTTTTTTTAAAACCCAGTGTTACTTTGCCCGACCCGAGACCCCTTGCACTTGCGACCACTCGTCCAACGAGGCGGTAAGTATGTAAATACATTCTACAAACATATTAGGAACGTGTTTGATTTACAAACACGTTGTAACTAAACACGCTATCGGGTAATGGTTAGACGGTTTTATTAACATTGCAATTACTTACATAACTTATTCATAAAATAATAAGTAAAGTGGTTAAACACTGAAAATGAAATATAAACGACATACCATGTGGTAACCGCTCACTCACACATAGGAGTAAAGTGTGGGAGAGCCATGCTTCGGCACGAAGGGTGTAACCACACGGGCGGCGCGGCTGCGGCGCGGTGCCTAAGCGGTGCCGCTGCGGTTTTCTACATACAAAAATGCATTGTAGCCACATGGCGCCGTGCGGTGTGCTCCAGCGCCGCGCCGCCAGCGCATCGGAATCGAGACGAGGCGGGGAGGGGTCCAAGCAGAGCGGAGCCGGAGCGGCGCCGCTCGCAGTTGTTTGTTTGCGCAGCATAGGGCAGGAGGAAGGAAGGATGGATTAAGCCAGATGCCGCTGCGGCGCCAGTGACGGCCAGTGTGTGGTCGCCAGCGCGGCGAAATGTCTTGCGGTGCGGCGTCGCACCGCCCGTGTGGTTTGCCTCGAACGGGGTAGTAGCACGGCCTCACAGAAAACCGACGTGAAACAGCGCTTGTGTTGTGTTGTTAAAAGTTGATGTTACATTGTAAAGTGGTATAATGTACACCTCTGCCTTCCCCTTCGGGGTAAGAAGGCGTAATGTTATGTTATGCTATGTACATAGTTGTTTGCTTTGAAATGGATTGCTAGTTTGAAGCAATTGGAATTGCGTGGAAGTCTTAACGGGATGCCGGGGCTCCGGCTTGGAGAACAGGAGTAGGAAGGCCTAACAATCCTAGTATCCGGGCAGACGGATCACCTGATGGTAAGCAATCAGCGTCGCCCATGGACACCTGGAACACCAGAGGTGTTACAAGTGCGTTACCGGCCTTTTGGGGATTGGGAGTTTGAGGATCGTTGGAGATTCAGGGATTGAGGAGATTGGGGAAGGAAGGGGAGGGTAACTGGGTCTCCGGTAACCTCACTCACACGACGAAACACAACGCAAGCGTTGCTTCATTTCGGTTTTCTGCTCGGCCGTGGTATCACTCCGGTCGAGCCGGCCCATTCGTGCCGAAGCATGGCTCTCCCACACTTGGCTAGACTAGAGGCTCTTGGCAATCGCGTTTGCAACTATTTGGATAATCATGGTACGCGTATAAATGTCAAATTGTATTATTTATTATTTACCGTCTGTCTCAGGTCTAGACTGAAAATGCGTCAGAATTGACTATTTTTAGATATAGCTAGATTCTCTTGTTTATGTTACAATTTGTCAACTACGCTTCGGGGCAAAGAATGGAGCCTTTAGTGTTTTTGTTTTTCATTCTGACGAACTCTTTATTAAGGCTTTGGCTGCCAATAGAAAACTGTTGAAGGCAAATCCTCCGCTAATGTCGGTCACCGGTGACTGCCATGGCGTTTAACGTGTTAAACTGTCAAACAGCTAGCGGTCACTGGTGACCGCAACCTATTGTTCTATAATTGTGTCTATAATGACGGTACTCAACGAGTTAAACTGTCAAACACCAAGCGGTCACCGGTGACCGCAACCTATTGTTCTATAATTGTGTCTATAATGACGGTACTCGACGAGTTAAACCTTTACATAAGGTTCAGGTTTATTAGAGAGCGCTGCTGCCTGGTCTCTGAATATGTAGGCCCTTGGTCGGATATATGACACCCGCGGGAAGAGTAGGGGTGCTGTCATCTCACAAGTCAAAGTTTAATATGAAGTAGATACACTTCTGTCTACTCTTTTCTGATCATATAATATTATATCTGTCTGTGTAATCCCTTAGTCGGGTATACGACACCCGCGGGAAGAGTAGGGCTGCTGTCATCTCACAAGCCAAAGTTTAATATAAAGTAGATACACTTCTGTCTACTCTTTTCTAATCGTATAATACTACATCCTTCTAATATTGTAAATGGGAAAGTACGACCTAATGACTTCGCCCGCCTAGATGAGGCGGGAGGGAGTGTGACTCTTACTGACTAAAAACCACCCCGTTCCCACTCCTGCACTTCGAGCCGGAGCCCCCCCGGTAACCCTTTAAGTTCTCCGCGGCTCTGTATCGGCATCAGCCCTATTGGGCCCCATCTGTGGTGGTCTGATAGGTCTTTGAGGGGTGCGCGGAACGCGACGCGCCGTACGGTCGAGCGGCGAGCTACCCATGCTCGCCGTCCGCAGGCGGCCCGCGCTTACGGTGGCCGGAGATCGTCCCGCGATCCTCGACGCCCGGAGTGTCCTTCGCGACGGCTGGGTTGTGAGGAGGCAGGGCTTCGCTGCCTCATGCGCCCCGCCTCCTCCTTAGCTACCATGATTATAGTCTGGTTTAACATATAAGCCGCTTTTTTCCAACAGGCACGCGGGCTAGGCCGTTGGCAGAAGCTATATATTTACAATTTAATCTACGCAAAAAAATGTATGTCAAAAATGATCACCCATCCTCCACCTGACCGCGAAGTATGTTGCTTAACCTGGCATGCGCCGGCGCTGCGTTGTCGTGTATTTAATAATAATATCGATCACGCAGTCGGACTAGTATAGTGTGTGAGCGAGACGTGATATGTAGGGTGACTACGTTCACTGAGAATTCGCGAACAGTCCTGAATAATTTCTGTTTGTAGCATAATAAAATTACATACCAAATGACTGTACATTTCATCTAAATATTAAATGACGGATGGGTACTATTCATAAATAATTAAATAGTTCACAAAAAAATGTCACACACAGACACCTAGTATCATTATACTCTACTTACTACTAATCTTATACTATTATATAAAGCGAAAGAGTTTGTTTGTTTGTGATTTGAATAATTGTTTTTGTGTTGGATAGCGCATTTATCGAGGATGGCTATAGGCTAAAAACGTGATGTTTTAATGTGCTACGACCAATAGGAGTTGAGCAGAGCTTGTGAAACTGCGCGGAAGTAGCTAGTATTAATAAATGTGTAAGCTTATGAGGATGTTTATAATGTTTGTTTGTTGCTCTTTCAAGTCATTAAATAAGACTTAAATAGCTTCTATCCGCGGCTTTGCACGCGTTAAATACAGAGTTATTATACATATAAATCTTCCCCCTGAATCACTCTTATCTATTAACTCGTCGAGTACCGTCATTATAGACACAATTATAGAACAATAGGTTGCGGTCACCGGTGACCGCTTGGTGTTTGACAGTTTAAAAGAATGCCCCATCGAAATCTGTTGCGGAATTAAAATTAAATGATCTAAGCATACAGATACGCAGACGGCGGAAAGCGACATTCTTTTTGTTATGTTGTTATTAATTAAACCAGGCGAGATGGTGGCTAAACCATCCTATTAAATAAATAGAAAATAACACATGAGCTTCTAAGAATTTCTAATAAGTCAACAAACACCCCATGGACGACTTATTCTCCCAATAAAGCGAGAGAAACCACTTACAGAAAGTCTTATAGTATGAGATATACAGCATCAAAATTGGTTCAGCCAATCGCGAGATAATCGCGCACAAACTTACATACATATGTACAGGGTGCTCACTCTTGGAACCAGTCTGAATTTTAATGCAATTTCAATCCAATGAAATCTCAATAATTATTCAATGTCAATACTAAACAACCACAATCGTAGCTGTTAAAATGGCATTCAGAGTACGAAATATAAAGTCAAACTCAATACCATTTAGTTCATTCAATATCCACGCAATATGGATGCAATGGGCGCTATTGTTGCAACTCAAGAGTACGAAATTTCACAATACCAATGTCGAAGGATCGGAATTGAATTCAAGAGTAAGCACCCTGGTCAAACTGAAAGAAAGAAATAGCATTGATTCGACAATAGGCACGCACACAGATACAGAGATAAATAAGAACCACCTTTTAGTCGTTAGAAGTCGTTTCAAAATTCCATGCAGTACAATGTAATTTTCATGACTTTGCTCTCATTACCATAATAATTAAGAACGATCAACTAAAATGGGTCGAGCGTGGTATTTTAATACAATACCTAAATGCATACAAACAAATAAACCTAATTACCGTTTATGATCAGTTTTTATGTGTTCTTAAAGACGTATACTTACTGGATGACCTGTCAACGGAATTGTACTGAGCTGCCATGTTAAATTATGATTGCAAAATAAATGGCAATGATCATTTGTTAAACGTCTCAATTGGTGTGTTTGTTATTTTGATTTATGTTCTCGAAACATCTTTTTTTTCTATGACTTGACTTGATTTGACATATTTGTGAAATTAGAGCAGCCGGATCATCTGATGGTAAGCAATTTTCCTAGAGGAATTGCCAGTCTTTCGAAGATGGAATATGTTGGGAATTCAATTTAATAATATTTTGACTTAACATGTACACACGGCTACACATCGAACTTTACATAACCTATATTGGTTAACTGTTGTAGTTAGTTATGCTGTAGTTAACTGAACGTTAAATGTACGGAAATATGATGCGACGCAACACCAGGATAAACTGGTTTTGTATAGATTGATGTGTGGCTGTGTGTACATTTCATTTAATACATAAGTTATTAATTAAAATGTGTAATAAAGACGTATGTATAAAATATATTCACAGTGACATCACCAGACACAACACATCAACTTCAAACTCGCACATAATTTACAAGTCACTAAAACAAACAGAAATGTCCTCTACACCCACGAACTGAAACACCCTGACCCAAAAACCAGAAATAAATTTTCCTAAAATAATCCACAACTAACATTGTCACATTGTCACCCTAACCCAGTGGTATCATTCGCGTGGTGTGCGCATGCTCAAAACCGGCTGCTAGCGATAAATGACTTTAGTATACGGCGGGCAGTCGTTCAGTACAGACGTGTTTGTGTTCCAGAAATGTGCGCGGCAATCGACATGTTGGCGTCCGAGTCCTTCTATGGACACAGTCCGCCAGCCGGCTTCCTATCAGACTACAGCATTCAAGCTCCACGAAGACCAACAAAACTCACATCCAGAGGGTTCTCGGCACCATGTTTAACACCTCTAAAACCCGTGCATTTGACTTTAAAATCAGCTCCCCGGTCGTGTATAAGAATACCAAATGAGAAGAAAAAGAAGAAAGTGGTTTTCGCTGATGATAGAGGGTTCGCACTAGAACATATCAAGTTTATGACAGAGCCGTCTCATGTGCCACCTTACTGGGCGCTCAGGATAGTCTCCAGTCCACCTTCGGAGAGGAAACCGCCACCAAAACCAGCGGATTTATGGGAGACGAGGTTCGTGCAGCCGGCGTCTGATTACCTGGAATTTCGACGAAGAATCACTCAAGATTGTGTGTCTCTGGAGAATGTGATAATCAAACAGGATGAGTGCGCGGTTGACGGGACTGTAAAAGTTAAAAATCTAGACTTTGCTAAAGAAGTTTTCGTTCGAACGTCCTCAGACGGGTGGCTGACGAGCGAGGATACATTTTGCGCGTTCGTTGAAAGTGGCCCTTTGAATCAAAATGGAGTATCAACATATGACACTTTTGGATTCCGACTCCAACTTCCAATCCATTCTAGAAGGCTAGACTTTTGTGTCTGCTTCAAGTCTAAGGGGCAAGAATTCTGGGACAATAACGGAGGTTCAAACTACACGATAGAAAAGTCTTCGGTGCGGAGTCAACCAGCAATTTCTTGTGCCCGTATAAAGTACGGTAACTCGTGGACTACAAGGTCAAACGGGGATGGAAATGTGCCCTACTGGTGATTAATAAATGACTTTAAATGAATTAGTGATCGAAAGCCATTCTGGCTGGTGATTTGTGCCATAATATGGTTCCTAGAGAATTTGAAGGTCTGTATATATTTTTTTTCTGTCCAATGCAGATTACGGTGATTTACGTTAATGTCTGTAGAAAGATGATTAAGGAAATTATCAGCTTTTTCCTGCGATTTTTAGATAAGAAGTGGTGATAAAGCGATTGGTTATTTCCTAACCTTTGAGGATAGAAGATGTTGCTTTCAAAGCATTTCTGTGCTATTTGATTGATTGTTAATCAAGTGGTGATTTAGTAACTTGGTGATTAATTACCTCCCTTAATTTAAGTGCTTAGTCAGTTGGTGATTAATTAATGTTTATCATTACATACCGATTATTTATAATGAAATGGTATGTTGAATGAAATATAGCGTATATTTTTATATCTAAATTAAATACGCTCATGTTAATGTCTCGATATTGCTATCTCTTTCGTTTTAAGGTGCTTGGAAAGAGAAAAAAGTCATTTAGGTAGCTGGGATAGATTTTTAAACGTTTACAAGTAAATTACCTTTTGCAGTCACTAAAATGTATATTGGTGGACCTTATGCCATCTAAATACGAAATGTCATAACTCCATTACAGACATTCGTACGATTTTCGTCGTTAATGTCAACAGGAATAAGTAGTAGAATTGCTTGTGTTAATTTAACGTTGAATTTAGACAGCTGGGTTTTTCATATATCTACATGAATACTAAGATCGTCTTACATGTTATTGTTTTAAAACGAATCAGTTGTCAGTATAGACTTAAAATGTTGAAGAAAAATGACTTGATAATTTTAGTCTTGTCTTGATTCGATTCATATTTAATAGACACACACCTACTTGTGTTACAATTATTATTAAATAATAATAAATACAAGTCTTACTTAACATTTGAGTGACAAAGATATCACAACTGTAACTACTGCGCGTAGAAAGCTGTGTCATCAAGGTTTATCTTTCGAATTCCTAACCATTTGTCAAACAAATCTACTAGGATAACAAACAAATAGTTATATTTTAAAACCTTTAACTAAGAGATAGAACTAAGAGAGTTTTTAAAAGCAATATCTTAAAAAAAGTCGAGTTAAACTACCAAAAAGGTCGGTAACAAACGCTTTTGTACCTCCTTGTGTTGCGAGTGTCTGTGGATGACGCAGATTGCTTACCATCACGGTTCTTACTCTTGAAACCAATTTCAATGTCAATGCAATTTCAATCCAATAAAATCTTAATAATTATCCAATGTCAACACTATACAACCCCTATCGTAGCTGTTAAAATAGCATTCGGAGTACGGAATGTATAGTCAAAATCAGTGCCATTTAGTTCATTGAATATCCACGCAATACGGATGCAATGGGCGCTAGTGTTGCAACTCAAGAGTACGAAATTTTACAATACCAATGTCGATCGATCGGAATTGGATTCAAGAGCAAGCCCCCAGGTGATCCTTCCACTCGTTTGTCCACATATTCGATTTAATAATATATCTTCGTTTATACTCATTCTAGAGTCAGATGGAACGGTAAAATCACATATATATGTGTTTATTTTGGTATATAACAGGTTTTAATATCACGAAACTGCACAGTGATAACCTCGCTTAGTTACACATGCAAATTTTAATTTGGCCAAATTAAGATTTCACAAGAAATGGTAGATGAGTTTTGTCGTATTATTATTAAAAGGACTGGCTTTTATAAATGCTTAGGTATTAACGTAATTAATCTCGCTTTAGTCCGCGAAGGACATTTTAGAATATTGGTGAAAAATATCTGTCTAATGTGACTCGACTAACTGCATCATGAATTCTAAGGATATGTTTAGTAAAAGAATAGGAAGACGAAAGATAAACATAAGTCAATAGAACTGTTTTAAAATAAATATTTAGAAAAAATATTTATTTTTCATGATATGTTTATTTAATGCTAAAAACATTAGCATTAAATAAACATTCTTTGTTAATTTGCAACCGAGTCTGTGTTGTCAAGTATACTGCCAGTGTCGACATGTTTAGATATTAGCTCCACTGTTTTTCTAAACATTCTAAATAGTTTTGTTCTATAATACCTAATATAGATTTTGGTGACTGCAAAAACAGAAACGAACGTTGGCGTTAAACTAACAACTTCAACCAAATAGGTTTGTAAAAATAATGGCGCCAATTTTGACAGCTGTCAAACTAAACCCCCGGAATGGTCCTTTGTAAAGTTTGATTGCAACTAAAAATCAATAGTTTTTATTTAATTTCAGTTATTTTCTTCGTGATGTGTTTGATATTTTGACAGAGACCCAGTTTTAATTATATTTTCTTACTTTATTTTGCTGGCCTGTCAAAATATTAGATAAAATTATGATCCCCTTACGCTATTTATATTTTTCTTTCACTTGTATACGAATAGTTATCATTTAAACAACATAGCAACAACAGAATACATATAAAACAGTTATAAGTTTACAAACACAAAGTAATCTTGTTTAGTCTATTTTTCAGCCATCTTGAATTCCAATTTGTTTGATAAACACTTATATTGTTTGTTTATTGCGAAAGATATCTAATCTGTTGTTAATTGTCTACATTCTGATACGTATAAACTGTTATATTTTAATTGCAATCAAACTCCTTGATATAAAAAATACTCGAAAGTTCGAACCACTGAAGTGACAGTAGAGTACTCGGCTTTGATGAAATGTCATTTTACAAAATGCAAAACTGGTTTTGTCATAGTCATGTTTCGACTGTACGGTTGACGCGGTGGCTGGGCTGGGCAACCGGCTGCTGTGCAACGTGGCCTGTGTTCGATTCCCGCACGGAACCACTCTTTGTGTGATCCACAGATTTTTGTTCCGGGTCTGGGTGTCATGTGTATGTGAACTCGTATGTTTGTAAACGCACCCACGACACAGGAACAAATATTAGTGTCAGACGTTTTTTTTTAAACTGATTTTAATATACAGGTAATAAAGAAACTAAACCGAATAATTTTCCACAAAATGTATCTAATAATTATAGAGCGAAAAAGTTTGTTTAAAACTTCTAGCCCAATAATCAAACCTCTGCTTGCTCCTTTAAGGAATATAAGTATGACGGTTAATTGTTTTTTTTTTGAAATATAATAATTTTACCAACAAGTTTACTGATATTTTTGATTCAGCCGTATTTGAATGGAGAAAATGACAAGTGAACCCGTTGGCTCAATCGGCGCGGGAAAATTATCGATGACGTTTCTTTATTATCTGTGTAATTTAGGCGGGAAAATAATCACTATGACGTTGAAAGCCTGTCACATTTTTATTTATTAAAATTGATTTTGTATACTGACTAGCTCAAGTGCTATTAAATAAATATTAAATAATAATGCCGTCTTTAGCGTACTCTATCTTACAATAGCTAGCCATATTAAAGTATTTGATTTTTAATTAAAAAAATACAATATGAAATATGACTTTTTTATTATATTTTTTCCATTATAATGGTATTGAACGTGTTAAAAATATGCATTACTGGGTATAATATATGTTGCAATTTGTGAAATGATATTTTTATTTCATTTTGTATAGAATGGTGGGTCGAAATGAGACAATAAGTAATATTGTTCAGTAAAATGTAATTGTACATGATTTGTTAATAACATTTTTGTTTGTAAATGAAATCGTTTATAATTTATAAGCGGAATTACCGCGAATAGCGATTACATTTTCATATAAAATGAAAATGGATGTTGATATGAAATAAATGATTTTGGATGTTCATGTATGAAAGTGGATGACGCTTTAAAAGGTGTTCACAGGGTAGCTAAATGAGATAATAATGCTATTAAAAGTTTATTTCGATAAAATAATAGTTTTATGTTATTGTAATAATAGTTTTTTTTTAAATAATAATTGCTGATTATGCGATTTTTTATTTATATTTTTTGTAATAAAATCGTCGCTCTGTATAGTCTGTTTATGTCTCGACAAACGAGCCTGATAAACTGGTGTAAATAAATAATAATTATAAAATAAAAAAATATATTTTTATTCTTTAATTTTCTCTCTTATATTCAATCCAATGTTAATTGTAAATATTATTCTTAAATAATAAAATTAATCGTTCATTTTCTCTCGTTTTAATAATTATTATTTCTTAATATTTTCTCATAATAATAGTCACCAGAATATCGCTTTTTGGCTCGACAGTTTTATCATTATTATAGTAAAATAATATTACTTCTATTTTATTATTATTTTAAGCTTAGAAATGATGAATGTCAGTAATTTATTTATGAATGGTTACTAAGTAAAATAATAATACTTACTTTTTCTACCTTTCTTATTATTGTATAGTTATTAAAATAAGGTTGTAAGAATTTAAACGCAAGAACTGATTACTATTATTGTGTTTTAAAACTAAGGAGTTTATCGAATTTTATTGTTTTTGTATAAAATTGTATAGAACTCATTACAAGGCATGGACGAAAGAATATATTTTTTTATAATATAATATAATATAAATAATATTGATCTATTAAATTTTTGTTTCATTTTTGACCTCTGTACAATGTAACACCCTAACTGTCTAAGACTGCCTCGTTGGCCGAGTGGTCGCAAGTGCAACTATCGGGCAAGGGGTCTCGGGTTCGATTCCCGGGTCGAGCAAAAAATCTCAGATGTAGCGCGGTGTCTGGAATTCTGCCTGGTATATGGCAATAGGCTCACCCCCTATTACATGGGACTCATAACATAAATACTGAAAAGTGGGTGTTACTTCTGTGTGCACCTCTGCCCCTTCGGGGATAATAGGTGTGATGTTATGTTATTTTTGACCTTATTTTCAACAATACCATCATAGTCCATTGCTGAACAATGTGCGTAATTTACATTAGAGGGTCTGGCTTAATGCAAGACTAAAGAAATTTTCGAAAAAGCAAAATATACCTAATTATTGCTATCAGAAAGAAAGAAAAACCCATGGTGCATCGCAGCGCAAAAGGCTCATCAGGTAATTGAACCCCCTTGTTTGACAGTCACGCTTATGGTCTATGATTTAGATGAGCGAGGAGACCGTAAACAACGATGCTATTGCAAGTTGTTCCACTTCAGACGAGAATTTCGAGATTTGAAAATGTAATATACGTCGATTTTAAGCCATAGTCACACTCACCTTATGGTAACTATATACCGTCGCGGCCCAATTAAATTTCTTACAGAAGCTGAAGAGCCAGAAACATATTTTCAGTTGTATAATGACGTTTAACATTGTATTCTTTACTCACAGATAACACTTGTACACAAATCATACACTGAATATTATTGTTCTTGCACATAAGATGAAGATATTGAGATTAAAATGTGTGTCGCGGGCCACATGAAACAAGCCGTGGGCCGTACGCGGGCCCTTGTGTGGACAGACCTGCCATAAGATATTTCAATCAGTAGTTACCTAAATATATATCTACTAGCGGACCCGACAGACGTTGTCCTGCATATTATTAAGATATTTCAAGATATTACGTTTTAAATAACCTACTAACGGGTAACCGGGGCTCCGGCTCGAAGCGCAGGTAAAGGAACGGGGTGGTTTTTAGTCAGTAAGAGTCTGACACTCCCTTCCGCCTCACCCAGGCGGGAGCAGTCATTCGATGATATTCGCCCTTAAAAAAAATAAAAAAAAACAAAAAAAGACATTGACTGCAGCGCCATCTGCCGGGCTGATGTGTAAATCTAAACCATCCAGGGCGCCACTCAAACGCATAAAGACAAAATCATTGAAATCGGTCAAGCCGTTTAGGAGGAGTTCAATGACATAGACGCGCACAGCAGAAGATGTATAAAGAAGATGGACCGCAACACTCATCAGTTACCAGTTGTGTTCTGAAGTCCATAATAT